GCACTTTACAACCAGAGCTTCCTCCTGAGCCCCTGACTGGTACTTTTCTTATGATAGTGGTAATCACTGACACACAATCTTATAAGTATGTCATGTCAAAGTGCCACTAGCAAATTTGGTAATCCAAATACTGCTCTCTGGGCAGTTCTGTAGGAAGGTCTCCTTTTTCCAGGCACTACTTTACTCCTCTATAAACTCATTCTCTAACACAGTTCAGAACTTCCAGCTGGTAGAAGTGACTTCCTACACAGGGATGCTCTCAGGAGAACCCTGTCATCTAGTTATGTCTGGATTTTGCATAGGTTTTAGTTTTGCTGCTCCAGTGGCTCAGTTTTTCTGCAAAGACTTAGGGATATCCAGAACTGTACACCCATCTACCGTCTTTTTTGTTGTTGTTGTTTAGAATAATTTGACATACTTATAGCATTTTAAAACAAACATTGAATTCATTAATTATATACAACATGTAAACAGAGACAACACACAGAATTCTTAAAGATATATCAAGCTTGTTAATAACATTTTCTGACTTCTATACCTTTATTCGTTTTGTCTAGATAATCCACAGGTCTCTGACTGAAATCATTTAACGTCTTTGACCATGATCATGATTTGTCAAACTTGACCTTTAAGTCATCAGTGTTGCTTCATATATCAAGGTTATAACAGAGGCAGATGAAAGTTCATAATTCAGAAAGCTTCTTAGATTACCTATTTCAGGCTTCATCCCATTTATCTTTTCTTCTATAAATTCTTCTGATGTTAATACTGCTGCATCTGACACCTTTGCGGAAATATTTGCCGGACAAACCTGCCTGTCCCTCTCCCCATTCTATGGGGTGCTTTGGTTTCGGGTTCTCTGAACATCCAAGCTGATCACACTTTTCTGCACCTGCTAGGCTTAACCAACGTTAGTGTGGGAATATTCACACATGAGAATTGATACTAAACTGACGATTTGGGCTCTCTGTCTTCTAATCCTGACTTCTGTTGAACTTAGATCTTTTTTCTATATTACTCCTTTTTCTGAATTTTTCTTTTCTCCCTCCATTGTTGCTGAAGGTATAGATTAAATACCAATCTTTACTTCAAGAAAGTGTGGATACTCAATGTTTCTTTCTATCCTTTCTCCTGTTCAGAGCTTTAGCAGACTTACCTATTAATTACTCCCCAGAAATTGTTATAGATGTTACTTTCATTTATCTTTCTTCAAAGAACAAAGGGGCTGTTTTTCAATAATTATTAAATTAACATGCTATCATTGCTCATTCATTTCTGAGCAATTATCAATAGTTCACATTCTACTTTTTCTTCTTGAGACAGGGCCTCACTATGTAGCTCAGACTAGCCTCAAACTTGAAATCCTTCTGCCTCAGCCTCTCAAGTGCTGGGATTCCTAGCCCATACACCACACCCAGCACCATTGTTTCTTTTACTCTATAAATCTAATAACTTGTCTTGTGCATATAATAATGAATAGTTTATTAAATATTAGGAAAATAAAACAATATGTTGTTTTTAAGTACATATGTTTTAAAATTTTAAAGTATTATTCATTGAAAAATAAAAACAAGGAAAAACACTTTCCTGAGGTTAAGAGTAGAGAAGATTAAGAATCAAAACTTCAATGGACTACAGGAAGTCAGAAGTGACCGCTCTCCAGTGTTCTACTGCTGTAACAACCTTGCACTGTCGTAAACAGTGTCACTGACAAGCAGTACCACAGAGGACAGCAGAGCACAGCAGGTGAAGACTGGACTCAGGAGACTGTCTTCCCATTGAGCTCTGCCGCTGACTAGCTTTGCAAGACTGACTAGGTCACTAGACCTTTCCAGACCTTGAACTCTCTGTGCTGGAGTGAGGTGACCTACCTCATAGGTTTTTAGTAAGAAGAATAAATGAAATACTGAAAATTGAAGCATCTTGCAACCTGAAAGGAAGCCAGTTACATATATAGGTGCATAATTCATTAATAAGCCAGAAAGCAGTCACAATATCAGACTAGAGTAGCTACACATGGTGCCTGGAAAATTGGACTGGATTACAACAAATATAGACAAAGAAGGGTTAATACCATATATGCATTTCATTTCCTTTTGTAACCTCAGTTTCCTCCCATTAAAATGCCACTGTCAGTCTCTCAGCCTTGACTATCTCTACCAGAACATGCAAGCTTACACATTAGTGTGTTCTTTATTGTATTAACAAGGTAAGCCAGACTGAACACTTGTCCAATGGCATGCCATGGACATCATCACATCACTATTATCACTGCATCTCTTGCAGGTGAATGTTAGTGGCATTTTATAACGTTGTCATATTCCAGACTCTGACTTGTCTCTTCTCGTTTCCTTTCAGTTCCCTAATGTTTCCATATCCTTTCTAGTGTTAGTATTTCTACCTTGCAAATAACCATATCCCAAGTATTAGGAATGTCCATCTAAGCTCCCCAGATCCAGCTCTGAAGCCTGTTTTGAGAAAGGCTAACTAACCTATGTCCCAGATGTAAAGGATAACATTACTCTGAAGCAGATAGAAAGAAAAGGAGAAAGTAGTATTTTTCAGTTATTTCCCACCAACTTATATACTAAAATAATAAAATAAAAACTCTTAGTCTAAGGACCCTATTGTAAGCAAGTGTTGCAACCCTGGGGAAAAGGTGTCCTGAGTGCTCCAGGAGTCAGGCACTACTTTGAGCTCCCAGGACAGCTCTGGCAGCTGGAGCTGCAATGGAACAGCTCAGCCCCGGAGGGAAAGGTATCCTGACTGTCGGGCTATACCTGGAGTTGGGGTGCGGTGGGGGATGGTCTCCCCGCAGGATATAGCAATCCTGCTCCTCTCTTGGAAAGCCACTACAGCTGGGCTTTGCTCAGCCCCCACTTAAGGGGCTTCCCATCAGAGCTCCACTTCTACAGCCCAAGATGTTGCTTCTTTTGCTTCACTCTGCTCAAGAGTAACCCCCAGCAGAAATGTAGCAATCTTCTGCGGCTCAGGCCAAAGTTGTTACTTTTTCTGCTCCACCTTGCTCAGTCCCCTAAGGGACGTCTCTGCAAAGTTTTTTTTCTGCTCAGTTCCCAAGGGACGTCTTAGCAAGGTTCTTCTCTGGAGCTGTGAATGAAGATCTTCACACCCAAGACTCTTTTGAGAAAGACATTTTTGAGGAAGGAATCCAGGAGAGTGGCTGTCTCTACCAGGGTGGAAAAGAACAGCCCACACTGAATAGGCAAGGTGGTTTATAAAGGATTTCTTAGGGGCGGAGCTCCTCCAGGGAGAAGATTTTCTGTACAGGGATTGGTTAGTTTTGTAGCCCAGGGGCAGAGATAGCTTTGATTTCGGAGCCAAACTGTGTTTCTTTCTTTCACTGGCCTTTCTTAGCTTTTCGGCTCTAATTCTGAGGCCAGGGCATATTTCTTTCACTGGCTCTGATTCTAGCGACAAAGAGTTATTCTTTGGCACTGGTTTCAGAGTCAGGGCATGTTTCTTTGGTTCTGGGTTTAGAAATAAAGTGTTTCTTACTGTGGCTCGGGTCCCAGACCCACACTGTGTTTCTTTCAGTGGTTCTGGGCTCCAGAGTCAGGGTGCTCAGAGATTGGTTGGTTTCACTCATCAGTTGGCCGAGGGCAGAAATGGCTCTGATTTCAGAGCCAAACTGTGTTTCTTTCACTGGTTCTGGGCTCCAGGGGCAGGGTGGTTTTCTTTTCTTTTCTTTTTTCTTTTTCCTTTTTTTCTTTTTCTTTTTTTTTTTTTCCTTTTTTCTTTTTTCTTTTTGAGATAGAATTTCTCTGTGTAGCTCACTCTGTAGACCAGGCTGGCCTCAAACTCAGAGATCTGCCTGTCTCTGCTTCCCTAGTGCACCACCGCTGCCCGGCCACGGTGAATTTCTGTAGCTAGCGCCTTTTCCTTACAGCTATATTATTTGTTTTCACATTAAGAGCCCATCAAGCTGTGTTTGCAGGAAGGAGTTTTGTGACCATACCAATTCCCCTTCCCAGTGAAAAAAATGTTTGGAAGGAGTTGCTATAGACATATATTAAATAATTGAACTTTCTAAAACTTTCCCTGTTTCTTACAAGAAAAGATGGAAACAGTCTCTAACATATCTGAAAGAAAAGTAATGCTGCAATTTAATTATTTTTTCTTTAATTTGTTTATTCTAAGACAGGGTCTCACTATGTAGCCCAGAGTGGCCTTGAACCTACAGCCCAGCTCCTGCCTCTGCCTCCCAAGAGATGAATTACTGCAGGCTTGAGCTACCGTGCTTATTACAATTTTTTTTTTTTTTTGGAAGTAGGCTCAAGCTTTGTAGTGCTTTCATACTACAGAGAAAATAAATATGTACCCAGCACATTAGGATAGCATCAAACAGATATCTGAATTTGTAAACTTTTGAGGATGGCCTGAATATCAGACTTCTAATCAAAAGGACTCTATGCATCCAAACACACACGTCAACACTAAGAATTAAGACTTGCCCCACCATCAATGTCAAGCAGGAGAGGAAGGAGCTGAGGAACAAGAGCACAGTTGATGGTCCAACCCAGAGCACCTACAGTCACCCTTAGCATAGGGGGGCATCACTCTCCAGCAGCAGGAGACCAGCACTTAGTTCCACTGACACAAATGGACAACCCGAGCACAGCTTTAGAGTTGTGCCTTCACTCAGATTGGATTAGGCTGAATTTGAACCACTAACCAACCACTCTCCCATAGTAAACCAGTGTAAAGGTCAGTACTGAGAAAAGGGATGAGAAGAAACAAGTAAAAAAGGAAATCTGTTTTGAAGTTTACAGTTTGCAGTGATGTGAGCCAACAACTGTTTGTCTCAAATCAGGCACACTGCAGCTTGGGAGGCCAGTGTGCACAAAAGACATCATGAAAAACGGATGGGTCAGTAAAGGGAATGAAGATCAAGGACAGCCTTTTCAAGGTTCGATGATCACCCATCTTCAGAGACATCAATACAAATGTTCTTCAACAACAAGACACGTCTAAAGACTCACCTCATGCTTGGAGAAGAGCCGGACACCCTCCAGCTGGTGGAAAACTGGGTAGTGCTGGGAATCAATCTGATCCCGCCTGTACACATCTCCTACCACGAGGAAGGCATTGAGTCCTGCATGCAGCAGGTCCCACTGATGTGCCGACGTGTGTGCTCTCAGCATGTGCACCCGATTCAGGTAGTAGTTGTCCCCCTTCTTCCTGCTGGGGTGGTCCGCTGGGATTAGCAGGCTATCAAAGTTCTGCCAGGTGGTGACTACTGGAGGAAGCTGGTCGTAGACGGAGAAGAGAGGGGTCCTGGGCCGGCCCATGTACTGCTGGTAGAAGTGCTCCTTCACCCTCTCCTTGATCAGCCACAGAGGGTGGTACTTCTGGTTGTGCAGGTTCCTGCCCACCTTGGAAAGGACCTTCTGGGTGAGGTTGGTGTGGTCATCCTGAGGGTAGGATTTTCCCAGCACCTCTACCACACTGCCCGGAGCAGCTTGGGCAACGAACTGGGAAGTAGCTGGCCTTGAGCCCCAGGCCCGATGCTGATGGCATCTGAAGACATGACTGACCTTCCTTAGTAGGTAAATGTGTTCATGGGCAGCTCTTATGAAGGCTGAACAGACCATTATAGAAGCTTCTCACAAATTCTGGAAAAAACACACAGGAAAAGCATAAGTTTCATTCTGTAGACAATAGGAATGTGTCCTTATGTTCTCTCAACAGGTTCACTACTTTCCTAATGACATACCTGTGTCCTTGCCATCACATTCACACCACAGAAAGACAATTCAGAAAATCTATTAACAGGTTTCTGTAATTTGAAAGTTCTTCCCAGAATTCATGTTGAAATTTCACTGACATCTAATAGTATTAAAAAGTGCAACGCATGAGGGCTCTGCCTCCAGAACACAAGAGTGGGATATTAGCACGGGGGTGGGCTTCTCATACAAGGATAAGCTCAAACCCTGTCCTCTCTCTTGTTCCATGAGATAATCTAAGTAAAAAGGTCTGGCTTCACGCCAGTGCCTTGATCTTTAGCCCGAAACTCCAGAGCTGTAAGAAACAAGTTCCCTTTTTTTTTTTATAAATTACTCAATCTGTGGTATTCTGTTATACCAAGAAAAAAAATGACTCTAGCATGGTGGTGCCCATGCACCTGCAGTCAGGAGACAAAGGCAGGTGGATTCCTGTAAGATTGAAGTCATCCTGGTCTAGCATAGCAAGTTCCAGGCAGGTCAAGGCTACATAGTAAGATCCTGTCTCAAAATTTTAACTACTAAATCAAATAAAACAAACAAAACACACTAAGACAAAGCTGTTGTATGCTATTTTGTTTGTGTTCTAACAAAGCTTGCCTGGAGATCGGAGGGCAGAGCTAGTGACTAGTTAACCATAGAGGCCAGGCAGTGGTGGCTCACTCCTTTAATTTCAGCACGTGGGAGAAGGAAACAAGATCAGGAGTCCAAGGCCACCCTGGGCTGTCATGAGAATGAACCAGTCTAAAATAGAAACAGAGCCAGATGATGGTGGCTCACACCTTTGATCCCAGCACTTGGGATCTCATGCCTTCGATCCCAGCACTTGGGAGGCTCACACCTTTAATCCCAGCGCTAGGGAAATGGAAACAGGAATATAAGGAGATGGAGACAGGATCTTAGCCCCCATTAGGACTGAGGGTTTGTAGAGGTAAGAAGTGACTGTGGCTGCTCCTTTGCTCCTCTGATCTTTCAGCTTTCACCCTAATTAATATCTGACTCTAGGTTTTTATTGATAAGACTAATGAGAATTGTGTTTCACAAAGCCTTAGTGTTTACTGCACTAAATCAGAAGAACACTGAAGGTGCTTATAGGACACTAATCTCTAGGTGTCCTTCTCTGTCATTTAAATTATTTGAACTTTAAAAAAAAAGCCTTCATCATGTGGCCTTGTTCAAATTTCTCATGAAGGAGAAAACATTCTATGTGACAACTATCTTTACTTTTACTAAACTGTAACACCAAAGGAATCTTTAGAAGGATCACCTAAAAGTTATTAGAGTCCACAGAGCTGGATTCATTCATTAAAGAAAGTATAGGCTCACATTAAGGCTTCTGATGGGCAATATGAGAAAATAGTAAACACCCACACTTTATCTTTCTGCTATCTACCCTCATAACTACGAAGTCCTGTTTCCCTTTTACAGAGAGTACCTTCTGCCTTCCCAGAATTGTAAAAAAAAAATAAATAAAATAAAAAAATAAATAAATAAAGCCATCAATTACATCTTTGAAAAGCCATTTTGAATAGGATCTTGGGAGATGGCTCAATTGATAAAGTACCAGCCATGCATGTATAAGAGCCCAAGTTTGGACCCCAGTGCCCATGTGAAAAAGGTGGGCACATCAGCAAGCATCTGTAGAGCCAACATTGGGTCAGGCGCTCATGAGCAAGTCAGCCTAGCTGAACAGTTGAGTTCCAAGTTCACTGCAAGACCCTGTCTTGAAAAATAAGGTGGAGAGTATGAGAGGCCCTGTCTCAAAAACAAGGTGAAAATGTCTGCGGAAGACATATAATGTTGACCTCTGGCTTCCATATGTACCCAAATGCATACATGCACACAACCACATGAACACACACATACCAACATATACACATACATACAGATTTTCTAAATAAAGTTACTACTTTAGATGGTTGAGTGTTTCATTCAGTAATATAAAAAATAAAAATATACTTAATGAAACTTAATACTAAGTAACAGATTATGTGAAGAGTAGGCAGAAATCATATTTGTGAATGTTCAATCTTCTCTGCTCTTATTAGTCATGACATTTAATCTAAAACCCTCTGCATCATTCCATCAGTGACTATTCCTCCTCATAAAACACAGCTTCTACTGGAATACATGCACATAGTAGGCCCGACACAAGAGAATTTACTGGAAAGGGGACACAAAGTTGACAGAAGACAGAGGATTGACCTGGATGTGGGGGGAAAAAAGAAAGAAAAGAAAAATGCACAGAATTTAATAAGACTGTAGAATTCCCCAACTAAGAGTCACCTCGGCAGTCATATGGGATAGGACATTGAATTCTCAAGGAAAACGATAAATATCCAGGAATAGATGCCCAAACTCTGTGCCTGATAGTGGAAAGACTGTGATCTACTAACATTGTTTATACTTTACTTCAACAAAAGCAGTTTTGAATTCCCTCAGGGACCATATTAACAAGGGTAACTAGAGATCAAAGTTGAAAGTTCAAAAATAATTTAAGTTCTTAAACTTAAGTCACTCATTTTTTTTTTGAATTTCAAACTTTCATTTGAAATTTTTTGAGATAATTTAAAATATACAACTTGGTTACTTTCTTCAAGATTCATGCATGCAATTGCACCAAGAATGCATAACTCCGTGGTACACAAAAGCTTACCTCACATGGACCTGAGCTGCATAATTGGCAGACTTGAAACTGCAAGTAAGACTAACTTCCTAGAAGCCTCTCCCTAGAGCTATCATGACGGAGAAGCTTTCAGAGATACCCAGGAACAGACTAGATCCACACACATGGTAGTGTTTTGTCAGGGATGCTTCGAGTGGTTTTGGCTGAGCTTCAGCTGAAATCTGTCTTCCCATCTACATTGTTCAGTAACTTGTCCCTGCAGTAGATACGAATTTCAAATTTGCACATGCAGCCTTAAGCATCCCAGCACAAAGCCACACTGATAGGCTGCTAGTTAGCCAGCTCAGAACTCTTGGTAAACACAAGAAAACATTTCTTTCTTCCACAGCATATGCTGTTATACAAACTGCAGGACTGCTTAAAAAAGTGCCTTTATACAGTTATTCATGGTTGCCAACAGTGTTTTACTTTATCAATGTCTTGTTCCACACACGAAAGCCCTTCCAGATCCCCATAGATGAATGCTATCCTAACATCCTATAATGATCTTCTCACGTGTCAAACTTGTCCGTTAAAGCGTACTTTTTTTCATTCTCATTTTGTAACTTTTGGTCCATCTGCTCAGCTCTAGTTTGTGTCCACACTCATTCTCCATACCGAAACAGTAATTCATTCTTTCTATTATCATCTCTTTCCAAGCAGGACAAATGTAGGGATTGCTTTTTGGCTGTTATGAATTGAAAGACTTCCCTCTGCCTCTACCAAAGCTCTCCATAAGAAAAATGTCATCTGAAAACACAGGAGGCCTAAGAAGGCATTCTAAGACAGCACTGTTCTACTGGTGCAGGGTGCTTGCATGTCACCTATCCACAGCACTGGGTAAGAATCCTTCATAACCTCTTGCCAAAAAAGAAATGAAAGCCAGTACATATGCAGTAATTTATGCAAATGTCTCTGCCCACCCAGTAATCAAAATTCAGAACTCTAAGCAATTTAAGTGCTTTTCAAAGGCCCAAGTCTCTTCAATACAGTTCCTTCCCTTGACTTTAGTTTTACCCAAAAAATTTAGGCCAAACATCAGTGCATTGAATAATTAAACAAAATAAAATTCATAACCTTCAATGTTAGAAATGAAATAAATATTTAAATAAATAAACAAAACAATGTGAACCAAGGGCCAAATAGGCCCCTGGCTTGTTTTTATATATAAAACTTCCTAAAACACAGCAAAGGACATTTTTCAGAGTGACATACAAACATCCCCCAAGATGTAAATAACCTGCAACATGATCTGGTCCTTTATGAAAAATATTTGCTAGCCATTACTGTAACTTAACTCACTGAGAAGTTTATTTGCACTGTTAGTAAAAATCTCCTTACTTAAAAATGTATGTAGACTATACAGACACAGAAAGTAGAAAAAGTATAAATGCATGCATTACGTATTGACATTAATACAAAGGACAAAGAGTGGCATCTGAATGAAAGACAATATAATGAACAGCTGGCAACTTCACAGAAGTATTCCTGTGGTTTAGTCCGTAAGTCCTTCTCTTAGGTTCTTTACCATAAAGTAAAAAGATGAAAGAACACGTATCTCACAGATAAAGGATTAATCCAGACCCTGTTCAGAAGGTACTTCACTCATTGCCCGATGAATAAGAAGAGCTCAGCTGAAGTAAAAAGGACCCAGAGACCTCTAGACATCTGTAACAGAAAAAAGCCAGACTGAGAATTGAGAATAGATGGAAATCTTGTTTGTTCAGATGATTTTCTGTATGTTGGCAGGATGCAGAGGGACTACACATGAGCAAATTATAAAAGAACTAGCTATGCTACGATTTCTACAAAACAGTAAGATGTTGGGCAAAACTGAGGTAAGTAGACCTTGGGGCTAGCAAGATGTCTCAACAAGTAAAGGCACTGTTGCCAAACTGGATAACCTGAACTCCATCCCCAGGACCCACAAGATGAAAGGCGTGAACAGACGCCCAAATGTTGTCCTCTGATTTCTATACAGGCATCACAGCACAAACATGACCCACAATGCACACACACGCAAATACACTAAAATCAATAAATGTAAAAAACGAGGGGACGGAGTGCTGGAGAGATAGTTCATCAGCTAAGATTGCTTGCTGCTCTTCCAGAGAACAAGAATTCAGTTCCCACTACTCATGCCAGGCAGCATGTAACAGCCTGGAACTCTAACTCCAGGAAATCTGATATCCTCATCTGATCTCCAAAGTACCCACATACAAGTAGC